AATCTGGAAACAAATACACTGAGGTACATGCCTAAGCAGATATGGACATTGTGAGTGATTGAAATCTAGGTGTCATCTAGTAGACCTAAGTGGGGGGTAAATTGTTTGAAAAGTTCCAGACCCATATTTATGGCACCCAAACTGCCTCTCATAAATTAAACAAAGTATAATTGTGCAAAACATTATAACCATTCACCTTTCTCAATAGGATATTGTTTGAGTAACTCCTCAAGTGGAAGATCTACTTCATTTTGTAAAGCAGCCAATTCTTCCTGTCTTTCTTGTTCAGTAAAAAGAGCCTCATCTTCCTCAATAGTGCACTCATCATCTTCCTAAAACAGCATCATCATGCAGGAAAACATCTGTTAAGAATAGAAATTATATATAAAGAGCAGTATCAAAACATCGTTTAAATCCACAGGGACAGTCTGACCTCAAAATACAATAGAGGACACAGGGCAGCCTTTGCAAACATGCTAAGGAAACTAATACATTTTGGCAGTAGACATTCAGGTAATATAACAGTTTACAGATAGAAACGTACTTTAATTAGCATATATATATATATATATATGTATAAAACTCACAATAATAGAACATGAGGGTGCATATACAAGTTGCAAATATAGAAAACATAGGTCGTATGTCTTTTATTGCCAACCTTATTGTGGTCAGATCTCATTTCCAAAAATTCATGAAAAAAATTTCCATATGATTGTTTAGGGTTCATTTGATTCTACAGAAGTTTCCCGACCAGAAAACAGTTGCGCTGTTAGGCAGAAAGATGGGTCAGTTTAACTATAGACTTCATCTCTGGATTACCTAAAAGTTGTGGTCAACTACTTTACCAACTATGCTTCTTTCACGCTTGCTAGACATCCCTGAGTGAGGGGTGGCACAGATCTAGTTCAAAATACTGAGTATTGGAGAGTGTTAGCTGATATGACATGATTGATCATATGGCCAACAACTATCATGAGCTACCATTCATGCAGCAGCAACAGCAACCTCCTATAAATGACAGCTGAGTTTTATTATTTTTATTCTAAAGGATTACTTTTCTTTCTATTTATTCTAACATGCGAAAAATTATGTCTGTATATTATTCCTAGTGTGAAGAAATAAGAGCACTAGAAAGGGCTACCAGCCCACCACAATTTTCTACCAACCCTACATCTTCATACCACTGTTTTCTCGAGCAATAATCAAAGAAAAGGAAAAACAAAGAGAAGGTGTCAGCTGATGCCTGCTGAAAACTATCACCTGAGTGCTCTGAATTCTTCTACTTGATATTTTCTAATATGAAATCCAGGGCATATGCATAGAGTTCCTTGGTTGATTGACATTATTATCATGTACTTGCATACCAACAAATTGAGTTCGAAAGAGATATTGTATAATTACAGAATATACAAGGAAAGGAAAGACTCACTGTTCCATCATCTGATTGTACATCATAATCATCATCACCGTCTACTGTATCTGACTGAGGATCTGCTTAAAACGTGTAAGAGCGAATTATTTTGGTTATTAAAGAAAAGTAAAATAAACTTCCTAGGTAAGCGAATAACAGCAATGAAATCACAACCTTCAACTTACCGGCATTAAATTCAGTTGATTTGTTAATATCATTTTCATCCATCTCTTTGCATTGAATACTCAGTTGATTTTGTATGGGATATTGCTGCACAGGCTTGTAACTGTCCCCGAGATTTTCTGCCAACATTGTTGAGTACCTGGAAATTTCATGCACAACATACTTCCATTCAGTTCACCGGGAAAATAGCCAGAAATCAAAGGTAGTATACAGCAAATAACGAAAATTCAGATAATATCAATCAACCAAGAAAATGTATTTACCTCTCAGTTTGCCCTAGAAGGAACTCAAGCTGCTTATCAAGTGCCTTTTTCTTTTTCTCATCAAGTTCCATCTGATGCTTGTAAAGCACCTAGATTACATATTGTGTATATACAGTCAGGGACCTAACTATAAAGAAATTAATTGATTAAATTATTAAAGAGAAACCAAATAAGTTGGAGACTTGATTGACTAAGCAAAGATAAACTTACCAGCTTCTCTATTTTCAGCCAGAACTTCTTCACATCTTTTGAAATACTGAGGGCAACCTTCTTTAACCGCAGCTCTTCTTCCTGATCAAAATTGAAATTCACATTGTTGCAAGAAAAATAAGCATGCCAGTGTTATATGAACCAATTTTGTGTAACACGAGAATTGAGATAAATTTGTTCTAAAATGTGAGCATGACAAATGTACATTCACTTCAGTTAGGGCAAAACAGAACCTTCATTCTCTTTTCTCCCCTCGTAGCTTGATCTAGCATGCCTTTGCTGGCTCTTAAAGCAACCTTCTTCGCCTGAGCTAATTTCCATTTTCTCTCTGACTCAAAGTCCTGGTAACAACTAGTTTCATAAGCAAGGAATAATAAAACCGTTTATCTCACATTTCTCAACATAATGGAAAAGATATCACACTTTTCAACATAATACTTGATCTGAAGATAATAAAGCACAATCATACAAGCAGATGACAACAGTTCAGAATTTTCAACAACATAAATTGCCGGATCTTCAAGGCATATATTAGTAAATTACCTTTGAAAGCCATATCATCTCCTCTAAAACATGATCCCAATGAGCCTTTGGCCGACGAGGTTCATTCGGAGCTTCAAGGGCCTATCATAGTTAAGTTAGTCAAAATGAGTAGAATAAGAAAAGGATTGCAGCAATGCATTCAAATTACTGACTGTTTTCAATATATAGAATGTTATCATCACCAAGGAACGTGGAGTCCGAAGACCATTACAAGCATGTGCATGTGATAAAAAATATTCAGAAAGCTCCAAATAGTTTTATTGAAACTTGAAGGCATACAACATTCAAACCATTATACTCAAGATCCCTTGTTGCAACACGTCAATCCAGAGAGCAGTTTAATCCTAATTCCTAATATAAAAACCAATTATTGTATCAATGATTAAAGTTATCTGACCACCCTTTGTAGTAATGATACTTCAAGAAGAGTATAGATATCTGTTTTGAAAACCAGTAATTCCCATTAAAGCTGAAACAAAACCCACAGAAAGAAGAATTTGTCCTAGCACGACTCATCCACAGAAAAATTCTTTATCACTTTGCTACAAATAGTAATCTGTCAAATCCCCACAATCAGAAACATTGTAAAACACAAAGATTTGGAAGGGTTTCCTCTCAAGCCAAGACACCCAACCAAACTTTTCTGGACGTCATTGCTCTACTTTATCTGTCTTGAAATTCTCTATAAAATCATCCCGAGATTAAAAAAAATAGAAACATCTCCATGCTCTTCACCATTGAAGATATAAGTGCTGACGTTTCACTTAGTTCAAGATGCACCATAAGCCAAGACTTTTGCGAAAACCAGCCCACACAATGGGTGTCAATGCACTTTGGTAGGACTTGAGCCCGATATATCATTGCCTACTTGCAATCTTGTTGCGCAGTTCTAGTGAAGGAAACATTTCAACTTACAAATCTGAAAGGAAATGACTAAAATAGAAGCATGCTTCGGCTAATAGAGTAGCATGTCCATAGCCTAAATAGAAGCTTGCTGCAACTAATAAGCAGTAAATCCTCAAACATCTTCATTATATCATCAAAATCTTAACACACATGGCCTAATGCAAAAAAAAATTCTCCAGTACAGCGTAAGATATTACTAGTATGTTGGATATTTGTACGATAACATAGTGAAAAGAAAAGTATAAAAGGTCTCCCCAGCTCGTAGTTGGAATATCATACAAAATCATATAACTATAGGAAAAAACATGAGAACCCAATATTCTGTTATTGGTTTGCATGCTTAATTTCCACTATAGAAAGGTGTCTTCAATTTCTCTTCACTTTTGCATAGAACTAACGTTCTTTTTTCGTCTTTCTACACTTGGTTAAGAAGCAAAGGACATTTTAACTTTATTTCTAAACAAGGGTTATGTTATGACTTTTGCGGCCAAACCCATTCCAAAGAAACACTGTTTTACTTCAATTTATTCATCCTCTTCAACTTTTGCGTCCCATATACCAGGAAGAAAAACTACAATATATATTTTTGTTTAACAAAAAGAAAAAAAAAAAGTGGCATTTTAAGAATTCATAAGAAAAACAACTTCAGTTATTCACTTCTAGCTCATCAAAAATTTAGACTTCAACAAAAATGCAAAAGTATTATATAGCGAAGCCAACCTTGTGGCGTTTAGCTCTGGTCTCATGATCAAGCTTCGACCTTGGACCTTTGGAAGCCATGGTTTTGGGTCTTCAGATCCACAAAACGGATGGATCTAGACCGTCTGATCGACGCCACTACGCTCTCCTTCTCCGATTGCTCTCTTCCTTCCTATACTCTTGCTCTTCTTTTTCTCTTCTTTTTCTCTTTTTGTTTTGTTTATCTCTCTGGAGCTTCTTCTTTCTTCGCTTTTGAGGACACCCCGCCTCTGATGAAATTCCACAATGCGGCGCTGCGTTTTGGGTTGCGGCTTTGTTTACGTGGCTGGATTCTGCTTTGGGCTTTATTTATTATAGGTTTGGTTCATGGGCCGAGATAAATAGCTCCAACGGCCCAAAATTAAATCCCAACCGTTGAAATAAAACAACGGTCTGGATGTGATGTAGATTCTGTTGCAAACTTTGATCAGGGCAATGAATTAGATTTGGCTTGATTGATGAGCATTTAATGTCAACTTTCACTCTCATTTTTCCCTATTGTTATCTCTCTCTCACACTTGGTTCAAGTCACCTAAATTCAAGTGTACGAAATATCATAAGAGTGGATAACCGAACACACATGATTTCGAGTGCCCAGATAGAAGATTTTTAACCACTTGAGTTAGAATGAAATGAGTTAAAACGACATATATTGCATACGACTCTATTTCATTATAATTGACTGTAATACGGCCTTCAAGTTTATACATAATGCATACATAATGCCAATTGTATAAATTACAATAACTTAATCCACAAGAAATATGTGTAAAGAACATAATAATCTTTTTAGTATAGGGAAATCAAGCGAGCACCATATGAAGATCAAACTTTTTTCAACGTGCATCAAAATCGGAATTCGACAAGTCATTCACTGATGCAATTTCAAGTTGCTTTCCACCTACACCAGCCTCCGCCAATTTCCTTCCAACAAAAAATGCTGGCTTTGTAGGTAAGGCTAATGGTGTGCTTTCATTTGTCAACATAGATACTACAACTGACATGGTGGGGCGATTTGCTGCATCTTCTTCTACACATAACAGACCAACATGGATGCATCTTAACACTTGATCGTTAATACATGAATCACCTACCGTTGGATCCATTAATTCTAGTCCTGCACCTTCTTTCCATAACTCCCATGCCTGAAACAACATTTTTAGGATTAAGAAAAAGAAAATGTAGAGTATTATAAATGCAGAGATTTGTTTGACATACGTATCCTACTAAACTGAGCACGCGATCATCGTTGTAGAAGCTGTTGTTTCTCCTCCCACTTATGATTTCAAGCATCAACACCCCGAAACTGTAGACATCAGATTTTACAGAAACAATTCCTTCCATGGACTCAGGAGGCATGTAACCACTGCACCAAATGAAAATGAAAAAGGCTTTGATTAGCACATATCTTCAAAAATGCATGTTTAGCAACCAACAGCAGAATAAGAGTGTGTATGCAGAAATTTGTTTACTTACCGTGTTCCGACAATTTTACTAGTGTTTGCTTCCAATTCATTATTGGTGAAAATCCTTGCCATACCGAAATCGGAGATTTTGGGGTTCAAATTTTCATCAAGTAGTGTGTTACTTGCTTTTAAATCTCTGTGAATTACTTTCTTTCTTGAGTATTTGTGCAGGTACAGCAACCCTTGAGCGATTCCTTCAAGTATACCAAAACGCTTCTTCCAATCTAGAAGTAGATGTCTGTTTGGATCTGTCCAATATGTAGAGTTAAGTAAGATTAAAATTAATAGTAGTAATCTTTGAATTTTGACAGTAGAATAAAAATCAGATAACAAATATAACAAATCAAAATCAAGTATCTTTAATTCCTTACCAAATAAAAAGTGGTCCAAACTTTTGTTTGGCAGGTACTCATATATCAACATCCTATCTTCTTCATGAATGCAAAACCCGAAAAGCTGAACAAGGTTTGTATGTTGGAGTTCATATATGAGTATCAACTCATTCTTGAACTCTGAGGTTCCTTGCCCTGAACATTTCGAAAGCCTCTTCACAGCAATTTCTTGTCCCGTTGCCAATTTTCCCTGAATTAATAATCCATAATATTTCCCAGCCATTTCAAAAAGGGAAAAGCTACATGTTCATCAGCTTTTGAATTACAAATAGAAAATACTTTTGTAATTTAAAATTTTACCTTATAAACAGGTCCAAAGCCCCCTTCTCCAAGCTTGTTTTCATCTGAGAAATTGGAAGTGGCAGCCAAGACAGACGCATAGCTAAATACACTTAGGTCCTGATGTCCCATCTTTCCATCATTTTGAAGTCCAACATGATCAGTAGGTCGATTAGATTTCATGAAGTTAAGCATTTCGTTCTCAATGTTTGTCCTGCTTTCACCTATTTAGATTGATAGTGTAGAAAGTTATGATTTCAATTTGTGGACAACAAAAGTCAATGATGTAAAACTAGAGGACATAAGCTTATAATGAAATATACCAGTTGAAATTGCCAGTCTTCTTCTTCGTAGTAGATGGCACAAGACTAAAAGCATTAGAGCAGCACCAGTAGAAGATGTGCCAATCCATATCCACTTTTGTCCTGCATCAAAAATATACCAGTTGAAATTGCCAGTCTTCTTCTTCGTAGTAGATGGCACAAGACTAAAAGCATTAGAGCAGCACCAGTAGAAGATGTGCCAATCCATATCCACTTTTGTCCTGCATCAAAAATATACCAGTTGAAATTGCCAGTCTTCTTCTTCGTAGTAGATGGCACAAGACTAAAAGCATTAGAGCAGCACCAGTAGAAGATGTGCCAATCCATATCCACTTTTGTCCTGCATCAAAAATATACCAGTTGAAATTGCCAGTCTTCTTCTTCGTAGTAGATGGCACAAGACTAAAAGCATTAGAGCAGCACCAGTAGAAGATGTGCCAATCCATATCCACTTTTGTCCTGCATCAAAAATATACCAGTTGAAATTGGACTTGTGCTCTAAGTTCAATGTATTAAAAGATACATAGCTAGACTTACCAGTATTTTTGCGAGGTGGTGATTTTGGTGACGATATGAAACTTGAAAAAACAAAGCTACTAGTTGCAGTACTCGATCCAGTGTTTTCTTCGACAAACTCACTGTCTACATTCCAAAATTGACATCCTGTACTACTAGTAGTCTGATTAAAGTTGAATCCAAGGCAGGTACAATTTTTCCAACAAGTAGCCTTGCAGGCGTTTCTAGTACCACTGTGGCTTATATTTGAATCAAACCAGTAGGGGGATCTTGAGCTCAAATTCTTGGGTTTAAAGACACCATTTTTGAGCTCAAAGTCATCACCAACTTTGGCCACGCAATCATTTGGCCGGTCCCTTCTCACGCACCCTCCATCGGTGTTATAGCCATCACAGTTTCGTGCTAGTACAATATCAACTGGTCCCCCATAGTCATGAAGTTTCCCCTCGCTGTATAGCACCAATTCTGGTTCAGGTTCACTTTGATCATCTACAGCACTGTATTTGAGGCACTCTTCGCTCTCATTTGAAACAATGCTAAAATTGTACCTCTGCTTGGACTCATTTGGCAAAATAAATTCAAATCTCCCATCTGATCTTAAGACTCCACTTGTCCAATAAACCACACCACTTTTCCTGATTTTCAACTGGCGCTCATTGGGGTCCCAATCAAGAGTGAAAGGTCCTGGAGCTGGGTTGTAGGTATCTGCCCACGCTAAAAGTGACCATATGTGGCCATTACTACGGTTAACACCTAATTTCATACCGGGTAAAAATGTGTCTACTGGATAATCAAAACTTTGCCACAAAACCCGTTTCGTCGATCCATCCACAGAGTTCAGTTCTTGTACTATAAGATTGCCAGAATCCAAAAGGGTAGCCACAACAGGACCACTAGTTTGTGGAGCAGAGAAAATTGGAATAGAATCTTGACCTGTTTGAGTAATTTTCAATGTGTTGTTCAAGTCCAAGGTGAGAAGTGGGGAGGAAGGGTAAGGAATAGGTGTGTTTCTGTTGCCAATCCATGCTTTGTTTGCTCCTTGTTTATTGCGCAGGATCGCTAGATAGCTGGTGTTCGAACCGTCGATAGTTTGTACAACGAAACGCAGGATGAACTTGCCTGATGCAGAGACTAAGGAGCTTGAGGAATTGAGAGTGTCCCCTGGCTTGAGTGTGTCATTTGCAGCATCCTGACAAGTCCACAAGCATGTAAAAATGAGGAAGATAATTGAGTTCATCATCAAAGCTGTAGCCATGGATGACCTCAAGACCATGAAAAACTTGGCTGAAAAAACATGATCAAGAGGTGTGGGAGTTAAAACCAGTATCACAGTGGTCAAGGGTAGGAAATTCTTTAGAAACTAGTAACATTTTTTTACAATTGCTGGAAGACTTTTGTTTGTTTTTTTAGATTTGGAAATTACAGGAAGACTTTTGACTCACCCGTTTATGTTGACAACAATGATTTTTCTATTTGATTTTGGTTAGAATGACTGCATTTACAACAATGACTTTTTCTTTTCTTTCTGATCAAGTCACGTAGTCGGCTCCTCTTCTTCGAAAGAGATGTGTTGTTCAAGTCCAAGGTTAGAAGTGGGGATGAAGAGTATGAAATAGGTCTGCCTCTGTTGCCAATCCAGTTGTTCAAGTCCAAGGTGAGAAGTGGGGAGGAAGGGTATGGAATAGGTGTGTTTCTGTTGCCAATCCATGCTTTGTTTGCTTCTGGTTTATTGCGCAGGATCGCTAGATAGCTGGTGTTCGAACTAGGTTGTACAACGAAACGCAGGATGAACTTGCCTGATGCAGAGACTAAGGAGCTTGAGGAATTGAGAGTGTCCCCTGGCTTGAGTGTGTCACTTGCAGCATCCTGACAAGTCCACAAGCATGCAAAAATGAGGAAGATAATTGAGTTCATCATCAAAGCTGTAGCCATGGATGACCTCAAGAACATGAAAAACTTGGCTGAAAAAACATGATCAAGAGGTGTGGGAGTTAAAACCAGTATCACAGTGGTCAAGGGTAGGAAATTCTTTAGAAACTAGTAACATTTTTTTACAATTGCTGGAAGACTTTTGTTTGTTTTTTTAGATTTGGAAATTACAGGAAGACTTTTGACTCACCCGTTTATGTTGACAACAATGATTTTTCTATTTGATTTTGGTTAGAATGACTGCATTTACAACAATGACTTCTTCTTTTCTTTCTGATCAAGTCACGTAGTCGGCTCCTCTTCTTTGAAAGAGATGTGTTGTTCAAGTCCAAGGTGAGAAGTGGGGATGAAGAGTATGAAATAGGTCTGTCTCTGTTGCCAATCCATGCTTTATTTGCATCTGTTTTGTTTCGAAGGATAGCTAGATATCTGAAGATGGAACCCTCTATATTTTGTTCAATGAAAGCCAAGGTGAACTTCTCTGACGCAGAGACTAAGGGGATGGAGGAATTCAAAGTATCCCCTGGCTTTAATGTGTCCCTTGCATCATGACAAGTCCACAAGCATGCAAAAATGAGGAAGATAATTGAGTTCATCATCAAAGCTGTAGCCATGGATGGCCACAAGACCATGAAAAACTGGGCTGAAAAAACATGATCAAGAGGTGTGGGAGTTAAAACCAGTATCACAGTGGTCAAGGGTAGGAAATTCTTTAGAAACTAGTAACATTATTTTACAATTGCTGGAAGAATTTTGTTTGTTTTTTAAGATTTGGAAATTACAGGAAGACTTTTGACTCACCCGTTTATGTTGACAACAATGATTTTTCTATTTGATTTTGGTTAGAATGACTGCATTTACAACAATGACTTCTTCTTTTCTTTCTGATCAAGTCACGTAGTCGGCTCCTCTTCTTTGAAAGAGATGTGTTGTTCAAGTCCAAGGTGAGAAGTGGGGATGAAGAGTATGAAATAGGTCTGTCTCTGTTGCCAATCCATGCTTTATTTGCATCTGTTTTGTTTCGAAGGATAGCTAGATATCTGAAGATGGAACCCTCTATATTTTGTTCAATGAAAGCCAAGGTGAACTTCTCTGACGCAGAGACTAAGGGGATGGAGGAATTCAAAGTATCCCCTGGCTTTAATGTGTCCCTTGCATCATGACAAGTCCACAAGCATGCAAAAATGAGGACGATAATTGAGTTCGTCATCAAAGCTGTAGCCATGGATGACCACAAGACCATGAAAAACTTGGCTGAAAAAACATGATCAAGAGGGGTGGGAGTTAAAACCAGTATCACAGTGGTCAAGGGTAGGAAATTCTTTAGAAACTAATAATTTTTTTTACAATTTCTGGAAGACATTTGTTTTTTTTTTTTTTTAAATTTAAAATTTTGGAAATTACAGGAAGACTTTTGACTCACATGTTTATGTTTTGACAACAATGATTTTTCTATTTGGTTTTGGTTAGAATGACCTGCATTTACAACAATGACTTCTCTTCCTGATCAAGTCACGTAGTCGGCTAAGAGATGGAAATGCATTAGTTTGTGGAAAAAGAAAACAAAATGATAAGAAATAAACAAAAGAACAGCTGTACTTAACAATGATAATTTACTTGCTAAACTTGACTTGAAACTATAACAAGGTCTAAGACTCAAAGTACAACTTTTGTTTTTTCTTTCCTTAAAAAAAAAAATTCTTATTGAAGTATATGTAGTTGAGGTACACAAAGCATGATCAGTACAACATCAAAATCGGAAACGGACAAGCCATTATAACTGATGTTGTGGGCGTTTAGATTTAGATGATTGGTTATGAACATGTATGCATATATCAGTTTCTACTTTCTTGGTTGCAAATTGTGTGCTTCTAAATCATGGATATGATCATATGTGACTAAAAAATTTCTCCTTAACTTCATCTTTCCTAAGAGTTTTTCAAATTTCCAAGCTACATGGTTATTTGTTGATTTCAGAAAACTGCACAAAGATTGGTTCATTTCAATGTATGCAGCACATTGACTAGGTTTCACAAAAATAACAGTTCCACATAAAGTACTATCACACTTTTACAGCCATGAAAACATGATTGATTCCTTCATCGTGCACCAAAATCTGAATTGGACAAACCATTTATTGATCCATTTTGCGGTCCCTTTCTATCTATACCAGCAGTGTCTGTATTTCCTCCTGTGTAATATGCTGGCTTTGTTGGTTTAGGCAACTGCATGCTTTCATTTGTCAACATAGATATGACATCGGACATGGTAGGTCGGTCAGCTGTGTTTTCCTCCACGCATAGTAGACCGACGTGGATGCATCTTAGCAATTGATTCCCGATACATGAGTCGCTTAGAGTGGGATCCATTAGTTCTAGCCCTGCATTTTCTTTCCATAACTCCCACGCCTGAAAACCATGTTGATAAATATCATCATTTAGGATCATTGGAATATCTCACACCTTAAAAGGAAGAAAAACATAATAACAACTTCAGTTAGATATTTGTTTGACATACATATCCTACTAAATTGAGTATATGTTCATCATTGTAAAAGCTATTGTTTTTCCTGCCACTTATGATTTCAAGCACTAACACCCCAAAGCTGTATACATCCGATTTTACAGAAACAATGCCTTCAATGGTCTCAGGAGCCATGTAACCCCTGGATTAAATGGACAAGAAAAAATTCTTTAATTAGTACAAATCTGCAAACATGCATGCTTAGCAACCGAAAGCAGAAGACATGATAAGAATGTATATATACACTCACAATATTTACTTACCGTGTCCCGACAATCCTACTAGTATTTTCTTCCAATGCATTGTGGGTGAAAATCCTTGCCATACCGAAATCGGAAATTTTCGGGTTCATATTTTCATCAAGTAGTATGTTACTAGCTTTTAAATCTCTATGAATTACTCGCGTTCTTGAGTATTTATGCAAGTAAAGCAATCCCTGAGTGATTCCTTCAATTATATTGAAACGCTTCTTCCAATCTAGTAGCACACCTCTGATTGAATCTGTCACACATAGAGAGTTAACGAAGAACACTATTTGTAATCTACATATTTTGACAGTGAATTTAAATCAGATAACAGAGCAAATCAAGCACTATGATTAAAGTGTTCTTAATTCCCAACCATATAAAAAGTAGTCCAAGCTTTTGTTTGGCATGTACTCATATATCAACATCCTCTCTTCTTCATGAATGCAAAATCCAAAGAGCTGAACAAGGTTTGTATGTTGAAGTTCATGTATGAGTATCAATTCATTCTTAAACTCTGATGTTCCTTGTCCGGAACATTTTGAAAGCCTCTTCACCGCTATTTCTTGTCCCTTCGCCAATTTTCCCTGAACAGATTCTCAACAATATTCTGAATTGTTTAAAAAAGAAAAGAAATAACGACACATCTTATTATGCAAGGCCTTACCTTATAAACAGGTCCAAATCCGCCTTCTCCGAGCATGTTTTCTTTAGAGAAGTTGGAAGTGGCAGCCAAAACAGATTCATAGGTAAACACGCTTAAATCATGTTTTCCCATGTTTCCGTAATCGTTTTGAAGCTCATTAACAGGATCATAAGCAGATCTATTGGATTTCATGAAGCTAGGCAATTTGTTCTGTATCATTGCTCTGTTCTTGCCTATTTATTTAGATTAGTGTAGAAAGTTAAAATTTCAATTTGGGACAACAATTATCAAACATGTGAATTCTTTTCTTTCTAACAAGTGCACATGAGGCTTATATATACCTGAGCATATTCTTCTTCTTAGCAGGTAGCCCAAGATGCAGAACACCATTACAAGCACAGCAGCCGCAATAGCAATGCCAATCCATAGCCATTTATGTCCTGCATCATCTACAGAGTGACAATTAATTAGCTACATATTTAGTCATATATTAGGCTCTCTTAGATTCTAGTTAATGTTTGTTGCTCATTATGGCACATTGATTGTCTCTTGTGAAGTACAGGTACCAAATTTTGGCAGCTAGACTTACCATTTTTTTGGGCAGGCAGTGGTGGTTTCGCTGGCGTTGCTAGTCCTGACAAAACAAAGCTGCTACTTGAATTGAGGTCTTCAAAGAACTGACAGTCTACACTCCAAAATCGGCACCCAGTACTAGTCTGACTCTGATTAGCAAGTGGAAGGTCAAATCCAAGACAGTCACAATTTTGCCAACAAGTAACCTTACAGTCACTACTACTAGCATTAAACCAGTTGGGGGATCTTGAAGTATTACTAGAGTTGTTGATCTTGAAGTAACCATTTTTTTGCTCAAAGTCATCACCAAATTTCGCTGTACAACCACTTGGCCGGTCCCTTCTCACGCACCCTCCACCTGTGTTGTAGCCATCACAGTTCTGTGCTTTTGTAATAGCAACTTGTGTTCCATACTCAAAAAGTGTCCCTCTGCTGTATAGCACCCATTCTGGCTGAGGATCACTTGGATCACCTACAGCAGTGTAGGTGAGGTAGTCTTCATTTTCATTTGAGACAATGCTAAAATTGTACCTCTGCTTTGACACATCAGGAAAAATAAATTCAAATCTTCCATCTCCGAAGATGCCGCTGGTCCAATAAACCACCCCAGCTTGCTTGATTCTCAATTGGTGTCCATTGGGGTCCCAATCAAGGCTCAAAGGCCCCGGCGCTGGGTTGTAGCTTGTTGCCCAAGACAAAAGTGACCAATTGTGCCCATTTCTGTGGTCAACCCCCAATTTCATGCCTGGTAAAAATGTGTCTGTTGGATAATCAAAACTCTGCCACAAAACCCCGCTGGTCGATTTGTTGACAGAGTTCACTTCTTGTAGTACAAAGTTGCCAGAATCCAAAAGGGTAGCCACAACAACACTAGTTTGTGGAGAAGAGGAAATGACAATAGGGTCTCCATCTGGGTATGTAATTTTCAATGTGTTGTTCAAGTCCAAGGTGAGAAGTGGGGAGGAAGGGTATGGAATAGGTGTGTTTCTGTTGCCAATCCATGCTTTGTTTGCTCCTGGTTTATTGCGCAGGATCGCTAGATAGCTGGTGTTCGAACTGTCGATAGTTTGTACAACGAAACGCAGGATGAACTTGCCTGATGCAGAGACTAAGGAGCTTGAGGAATTGAGAGTGTCACCTGGCTTGAGTGTGTCACTTGCAGCATCATGACATGCCCACAAGGAAGCAAAAATGATGAAGAAAATTGTGCTCATCATCATCAAACCGGTAGCCATGGATGTCGACAAGTCAGGCCCTACTTTCACTTTAATTTCTACAGATGATCACGAAAACTTAGCTGAAATAGCTTTAGAATTTACACATGAATATGTTCACAATCCCTAAGGTCAACGGCCGGCAATCATTTCGACATTAAATAAAGTTCTTACAAGTAGACATGAAGACTTTTTTTCTTTTGTTGGATTTAAAAATGAGAGAGAGTTTTGACTCTGTTTTTTTTTAATGTCTGCACTTGGAAGACTCAATCTCTTTCATTCATTCTCTTTGGTTTTCTTCCTTCACAAGGCACTTGGCTCCTGATTGGAGGCGTATTTGTGGGAAAACAATAATTTCAAATGCTAATAAAATGAATAAATAAACAAATTCATCGTACCATATCTGTGCTCAATCATGATGAAGAATAATAATTTTCTGGTTAGGAGGAGAGGATTCAAAATGTGTTTTACACTCTAATGAAAGTGCAAGCAAGCACTTTCATATATTCTGATTGTTTATTTATCAATTTATTTTATTAATGACCAATTAATAAAAATAGTAGGAAGAAACTACCTGAACCAGGCTGATAAAAAAAAAAGGTGAAAACCAAAGTCAAATTTATGATAAAAAAGAAAGTAATTCTTAATTAATTTTATATATAATAGCACTACGTGCCCATCTTATATTTTAAATTCAGGTTGAGTATTACAATCATTTTAAATTGATATTGATAAACATCCGATCATTCTTAGGTACAAAGAAAGCCAAGGTGAAAATTCCCCGAGGCTGAAACCAAGGAACTTGAGGAGTTGAGTGTCTCCCCTGGTTTGAGCGTGTCCCGAGTTAAGCTTGCAGCATAGTGACAAGTCCACAAGCATCCGGAAGTGATCAAGAAAGTTAAGTTTCTTATGATAGCCATGAATGGAAAACTTAGCAGAGAAACAAAAGTATTAAAAGACGTGTGAGTTAAACCACAATCTCTTTAAGGTCAATGTTTACAAGAAGCGGACTTTGACTCACTCATACTGCATATGCACTAACCCATCTGTGGAATGGAAGAGACGTTTTGAGTCATAATCTCTCTCCTTAATTTTTCATCTTTACTGGCTAAGAGACACACACCAATAGTCAACCACTTGATGCACAAGGCCGGCGGAATGATAGCAATATTATTAATATTCAAAGAATTCAAAATTTGTTTTCCTTCGACTCATTGCAGTATGCAAGGGCTATAGTTCTCACTTGTTTTTGAATTATATGTCTTGTACTCATTACTAGAAGAAATCAAGTAGTTTCCTATATTGTCCTGTTTCAAAATGCCCTTTACAAGATTATCGCTCTCAAACCTACTGTTATTCGGTCTCGAGTATATATTGTACATGATTATTTTCATTTTTCAAGACCTCCTCAATTGTAATAAAGATGCAAGGCCGGCCCAATGGTACATAACTCCAAGGGTTCAAAAATTTGTTTTCCTCTAAATGCAAGTGCAAGGCCTCATATTTGTTTTCTAATTGTATCTTGCACTAATTACCAGCAGAAATCAACTACCTTATATAAGATTCACTCTCTAAACCCGTCTTAGGGCTTTGAGGACGTATACCAGTTCCAGTCACAGAGCTTTGAGGACGTATAGACATGCCGCTAAAGAGGATCCCGTTGCGAAATGGAAACATGATGAGGATGATCTCGTTCTTGCAATGGAAATATAGATTTGACGTGGATCCGACCTCCTAGCTATATATATATATATTCAACACGAGACGTTTAATTTAAAGAAAAAATATGACTAAATTGGTAATTATTAAGTTTAGAAGTTACTCCCAAATATTAGTGAAGTATTTCATATAACACATATCGGAGGAAATCACCTCGCCCCCGAACAAAAAAAAAAGTACATTTTTTTGCTTGCCATAATAAGCTTATTTGAAGTATAATGTTTTGCACAGCCAACGTCATCAAGACCTTTAACGTCCTTCCAAATCTGTATTGGACAAATCATTTATTGATATAATTGGCGGTGCCCTTCTATCTATACCAGCAGTGGCTGCATTTCTTTCTGTGTAAACTGCTGGCTTTGTTGGTCGAGGTAACCGCATGCTTTCATTTGTCAACATAGATATAAGTTAACATCTGACATGGTAGGGCGAATGGCTGCATTTTCCTCCACGCATAGTAGACCGACTTGGAGGCATCTTAACAATTGACTAATACATGTTTCAACTAGTAACAATTGATGACTAATACATGTTTCAACTAGTGTTGGATCCATTATTTCTACCCCTCTATCTTCTTTCCATAACTCCCATGCCTGCAGAAAGCATTAAAATTATTGAATCACACACCTAAAAAGCATGAAAAGAAAAAAACATAATGGTAACTGCAGTCTGCAGCGATTTCTTTGACATACATGTCCTACTAAGTTGAGCACGCGATCTTCATTGTAGAAGCTGTTGTTTTTCCTCCCACTTATAATTTCAAGCATTAACACTCCATAACTGTAGGCATCAGATTTTGTGGAGAAATTTCCCCCCATGATGTACTCGGGGGGCATATAACCACTTTACAAAATGAGAGAGAAAAAAACTTTCTTTAGTACATCTATATACATAAATGCATGTTTGCAAGCAAAGGAAAAAGTACACGTGATAAAAAAGCATGTATGTATTGTAGTGTTTCCTTACCGAGTCCCAACAACCCTCACAGTATTTGCTTCTAGTTCCTGGGTGAAAATCCTTGCCATTCCAAAATCTGCAATTTTGGGGTTCATATTTTCGTCAAGTAATATGTTACTAGCTTTTAGATCTCTATGAATTACTTTCGTTCGCGAGTATTTGTGCAAGTAAAGCATTCCTTGAGTGATTCCTTCAATTATACCAAAACGCTTCTTCCAATCTAGTTGCAGACATCTAATGGAATCTGTCCAACATAGAGATTCAAGTGAGAGTCTTATTAGTAATTTTTGTATTTTCAAAGGTTAGAGAATAATATTAACACAATTAATTGAGAAAATGAAATGTGCTAAGATTAAAGTAGCTTGAGTTCCCAACCAAACAAAAAGTAGTCCAAGCTTTTGTTTTGCATGTACTCAAATATCAACATCTTCTCTTCTTCATGAATGCAAAATCCAAATAGCTGAACTAGGTTCGTATGTTCGAGTTCATATATAAGTATCAATTCATTCTTAAACTCCACCGTGCCTTGTCCTGAACATTTTGAAAGCCTCTTCACAGCTACTTATCGTCCTGTTGCCAATTTCCCCTGAATTTATAATCCATAAAATATTTCTCAGTTATTCCAAAAAAGAAAAAAACTATTTTATATATATATCCCTTTGACAGAAAACATGTACACTTTATATTATTTAGAGACTTACCTTATAAACAGGACCAAAGCCCCCTTGGCCGAGCTTGTTTGCTTCAGAGAAGTTGCTTGTGGCAGCCAAGACAGATTCGTAGGTAAATATGCTTAAATCAGGGTGTCTAATAATGTTTCCATGATCATTTTCTGTCGCAATAACATGATCAGTAGGTCTTTCAGATTTCATGAACTTAAGCAATTTTTTTCTGAATCTTTGTTCCGTTCTTGCCTATTTAAATTGGTATTGAAAGGTTAAAACTTCAATTTGGCACAATAATAATCGAAGAAGTGAAATTTTCTAACAACTGCTCTCATTATGCTTAAGGAATTTACCTGCTGAAAGCATAAATTTTGTTCCTCTTAGTCGATAGCACAATATGCAAATGCAAAACCCAATTACCAGTAGAGCGGCAATAGAAGTGCCAATCCATAACCCCTTATCTGTTGCATCTAGGAAAAAATTTAATTAATTTTCTATATAGTAAGTTAAGCTTGTATTAGCTTATTGATGTGGTAGTTAAACAAGTCTAGCTGATTAATTAATAAGATTAATAAGATTAGTAAAAAGCTTGACTTACTAATCTTTCCGCGAGGTGGTGAATCTGGTGATTTTGGTGGCAGCGTTACTGAGTTTGGCACAACAAAACTATAAGTTGCAGTACTGAGGTCTTCAATGAATGCACAGTCCACACTCCAAAATCGGCATCCTGCACCAGTAGTCTGATTTCCAAATGGAAAGTCGAATCCAAGGCAGTCACAGTTTTGCCAACAAGTAACTTTACAATCTTCGGTACCAGTACCAATCCAGTTCGCAGGTCTCGAAGCATTAGCAGAGTTGATGATCTTGAAGTAACCTTTTTTAATCTCAAAATCATCACCTAATTTCCCAACACAATCGCTTGGGCGGTCCCTTCTCACGCACCCTCCGACAGTGTTATAGCCATCACAGTTTTGTGCTCGTATAATATCAACTTGGGCACCATACTCATAAAGTGCACCTCTGGTGTATAGCACCCATTCTGGCTCAGGATCATTTGGATCATCTAGACTAGTATAAGTGAGGTAGTCTTCGTTTTGATTCGAAACGATGCTAAAATTGTACCTCTGCTTGGATACATCAGGCAAAATATATTCAAATCTCCCATCTGCAAAGACCCCGCTAGTCCAATAAATAACCCCACTTTTCTTAATTTTCAATTGGTGTGCATTGGTATCCCAATCAAGGCTGAAAGGCCCCGACGACACAGGGTTGTCTCTAGACCCCCATGATAAAAGAGACCAAACGTGCTCATTTATATGGTCAACACCCAATTTCATGCCTGGTAAAAATGTGTCCATTGGATAATCAAAACTTTGCCACAAAATTCGGATCGTGGATCCGTTGACAGGGCTCACTTCTTGAAGGACAAAATTGCCGGAATCCAAAAGGGTAGCCACAACACTAGTACTACTAGTAGTGTTTGGAGCAGAAAGGATAAAAGGCTGTCCATTTTGGTGAGTAATTTTCAATGTGTTATTGAAGTCCAAGGTAAGAATTGGGGATGAAGAGGGTAAAACAGGTGAGTGTGGGTTCGCAATCCATGCTTTGTTTGCTTCAGTTTTGATGCGCAGGATAGCAAGAAAGCTCATTTCAGAATTGCCGACAGGTTTTGTAATGAATTTCAAAGTGAACTTGCCTAATGCTGATACCAAGGAACTTGTGGAATTGAGAGTGTCCCCTGGTTTCAGTGTGTCTATTGCATCATGGCAAGTCCACAAAGTTGCAAAAATGATCAAGATAATTGTGTGCTTCATCATCAAGCCTGAAGTCTTGAATGATCACAAGGCCAACAGTACTTACCTTCTCTAGATGATCATGACAACTAGTCTTTCTTCCTCTGTATTTTGCCTCTTTAATTATGTTTACGGCTAATAAAGTCTTCTCTTGACCCAAAATGCAAAACACCAAGAAAATCTCTTTCACTAGTTCATTAAGTATTTAAAAAATTACCCATCAATGATATGTTTTAAAACCACAAAAAACAAAAAGAACCAGGCAATACGAAAATTCTTGAAAGTTAGATCCATTCAAAGTGAAAGTTAGATAGATAATTATAGGCTGAGAAAAATACCTCTCAAGTCTCAGCTTACTTCATGAAACTGCAATGATCTCACAGAATAGTTGGGAAGAGAGAGGGAGAAACAGAGACAGAAGGGTTGGAGTGAATTAGTGTTAAGGATTGAAAAACTTGAGAGTCCACGATCAATTTGGTTGGTGCTAAACAGAATCATGATTTAAAAACATGATAAAAATTGAAGTGTTTTTCGTTGTCGGGCTATGTCTTGGCTTGAACATATATAAAATATATGCAGGATTGAAAACTCAACTTGTACGTAGGTAATTCACCCCAATACCAAGGAAACCCAAGCCGGCTTGGAGGGAGGAGACCCTATGCATGGCCTAACGAGTCAATGACCCATCCCACGATTTCAACAACATAAAAATATATGAGGGTATTATAATTAATAAATTATAGCTTTGTTTTAGCTGTAAGCATAATATTTTGTCGCCTAATATGTGAAATTTGAATCAAGGCGGCTTGTTTGTATCTACATTGTTCTTAACAGGGCCGTCCCTGAGATTTTGAGGGCCCTGTGCGAAATTTAAATGGGGGCCTCACATAATCTAATACGAAAAATACTATAAATAAAAATTTGCCATAACTTAATGTCATAAACAATTTTTTTTTAGAACTAAAAGTCACCATCAATAAACATGTAATGACTAACTAAGTCGTTTTGTATATCCAGAAACGTATTTTCTAATAGGTGGCATGTTTAGATTACAAAGAAAAATTCCAAAACCCTATAACCTGGAAGAAAACCCCAACAAGAAATAGATAAATACTAGCAAAGTTGCCCGCGCGATGCTGCGGGTTTTAAAACCGTCTAAAATGTCTACAAAGTTGTGAAAATATGTAGCAAGTTTAAGTTACAAAATAAAGACTAATAACATGTTTTATATGTTGCTTGTCATGTTTATTAAAATATCATCAATATTTTAATACACCAAGCAGCAATCAAAATTGAAATCATGATACATGCAGGAATTGTGATATAAGAGTTTACTACGAAAAGGAAAATACAAAGACAGTATGAAATGAAAGAAACCCGAAAAGAAGGATGAAATACCAAACTTTCATTCAAATCAAGAAATACAAATAAACTATTTTGGACGAAAATTTAACTACTTTGAACATAAAATTCGGGGAGAATAAGTGAATAAAAAGTTTCGAACGAAAACAGGAAAAAGAAAAAAAAAACCATTTTCAACCTTGTCTAGCCTACATAGAACCTCCTACTCACAGCCTCTTCTTGACTCTCTCGTACGCGGTTAACATCTTGCAAAAACAGAAAATCCACAACAACAAAAATATAGGATAAGCATCTTTCAAAATAGAAACATAACAAAGTGGATGAAACACATTAAATAAGAGATATAATTAACTGCAATCATTAAGTTTTACTAAAGGTTTGGCAAAATCTAGGAATCAGGAGATTGCAGTCAACAAAAGTCTCTCTTCCAAAAGCATACACAAATATTATAACAAAATCATTTAGCCTTCAAAAAGGATGGAAGCAATTTCATAATATCAGAAAAATCAAAAGGGGAATTTAACAATTTGTCGATTGTTACAGTGGTTTTCATGGTCACAGGCTGCACTTCTAGCAGAGTGTAGAATTGGGACAAAATAACTTTGAGAAATTAGACACAACCTTTAAGATAAAATATCAGTTGAAAATAAAATGTCTTTTTTCCTAAGCAAATCAGTTGAAAATAAATTATCAGAAGCAGGATTGGTCTCTAGGCATTTCAATTATCATCACATCTTATACTTCGGGTTCAAGCATGGTGTAAACAGTGAGCAATGAAATTATGCCTTTTTTCCTAAGCAAATCAGTTGAAAATAAAATATCAGAAGCAGGATTGGTCTCTAGGCATTTCAATTATCATCGCATCTTATACTTTGGGTTCAAGCATGGTGTAAACAGTAATTGAGAACAAAAACAAAGATTTTATTGACACTTGACCAATGAGACATTCCTAGCATATATTAAACCTAGCTATTTTGATAGTTTATCCTTTGCTACTTGCCTACTCCAATTATCGGAAGAAAATTGTACCAAAAATTGTGTCATTTTCTTGGGAAAATATAAAATTAAATGTTGAGTTTAAAAGGATATATGTTATAAAAAAATAAATTCAATCTAAAACTGGTGGAGTAAAGTACTCGCATAATATGTAACTCTTGCTGTTTGTTGAAAAGACAGATTCATTCCTATAATATATCTGTACATTGCACAAAACGTACTATGAAAAAAAAATTGTTTTGGACAGAGACATCAGAGTAAAAATTAAAAAAGAGAGAAAAAACTTATCACCTTAGGGAGAACTGATTTTGGAAAATTGGAACCCCAATACAAAAGAAAGGTTTGCAATTTCGCAGACGTACATGTGAGAGCCCAAAATTCATCAAAACGAAACACTAAATCCAAGAGGAGCCTTTATTCAGCAAAGTGGAGGCTTCAATTTTGAAGGGAAAAAAAAAACAGAAAAAAAGAAAAGAAAACATACGTCTCCAATTCAACCGGTCATTTCGAGGGGGTGCCTTTGACGCAGCCTCCTTCACATCTGCCACCAAAGCCAAACATCAAATACAAAATACGATTCAAATGATCAAAACAAAATTAGAAAAAAGCGAAATAAATTTGATAAAATAGTGACGCTTTGGGGTCAAAGGTGGAGACCTTTGGCAACAAATTGGATTTCGCCAGGAGGAGAGTTGAGGAGGAACCACTTCCCCACCGCAAAACAACATTGACTACATTAGACACTGACAAATAATCAAAATGGGTACAAATTTATTAATTAGAAAAAATAAAGTATAAACGGCTGAGAGAACAAACCTCATTAAGGGCAAGCACTTGGCCATTGCTCTTCTTGACCTTCTTCAGCTTCCTCAGGAAATACTTAATCCAAACAAATCAATCAACAATATTAAGTTTAACCCAAAATTCCCCACTGTATATTTGGGATCACAAAAGCCGAGCTAAGGCCGCTAAGGATTATACCAGAACTTCGACTTGGCGCGAACCTCATTGGTGGCCCAGAGCTTCATTCGGTAAATCTTGGGGTGCTCATCAGATGCCATAGGGAGCTTCCTCCCAACAACCTGGTACTGGTGGAACTGCAACACAAAAAAGACACTGTTAATTGCAGCTTTACCATTTGACATGCCCTAAGAGAAATATATCACACAAAAACAAATACCAAATTAAATGGAACCTAAGAAACTGTGAAGATAATTTCTAGATATTTGTTTACCAAATTTCATACAACAATCTTCCACTTAAACTGACTGTTTACAACAATACTAAGAATTT